TATCTATCTACAAATTCAGCCCTATAGAAGGTGCTAGAAGGAAAACTCCAACACATGTGGGTCAATTACACCCACAAAAACACTGGAAATAAATGATTTCACAGTAGCAAAACCAAAGATGGGAAACATACACACACACCACCACTACCACCACCACCACCACCAACAACAACAACAACAACAACAAGAAAATAACAGGAATTAACAATCATTGGTCATTGACATCTCTCAATATAAACCGATTCAATTCTCCAATAAAAAGACACAGACTAACAGAATGAATGCCAAAACAGGATCCATCCTTCTGCTGCATACAAGAAACACACTTTAACACTAAAGATAGGCATTACCTCAGAGTAAACATTTGGAAAAACAGATTCCAAGAAAATGGATTCAAGAAGCAAGCTGGTGTAGCCACTTCGATACCTAACAAATAGATTTCATCCAAAATTAATCAAAAAAGATAGGGAAGAACACTTCATATTCATCAAAGGAAAAATCCACCAAGATGATGTTTCAATTCATAACATCTATGCCCTGAACACAGGGGCACCCACGTTTATAAAAGAAACATTACTAAAGCATAAACCATACATCGACCATCACACATTGATAGTGGAGACTTCAGTAGACCCCACTCTCACCAACGGACAGGTCAACCAGACAAACACTAAACAGAGAAGTACTGGAGCTAACAGACATTATAAACCAAATGGACCTAGCAGATATCTACAAAATATTCTATCCAAACACAAAAGAATACACATTCTTCTCAGCACCTCATGGAACTTTCTCCAAAATTGATCACATACCATGACACAAAGTAAGTCTCAACAGATACAAGAAAATTGAAATAATCCTCTCTAAATGAATAGACCTCCACTGGTTAAAGCTGGATTTCAACAACAACAGAAAATACAGAAAGTCTACAAACTCATGGAAACTGAACAGCTCTCTAATGGATGACTACTGGGTTAAGACAGGAATAAAGAAAGAAATGAAATGAAAGACTTTCTAGAATTCAATGATAATTAGTGTACAACATACTCAAACTTATGGGACACAATGAAAGTGGTGCTAAGAGGAATGTTCATAGCACTAAGTGCCTACATAGAATAATTGGAGAGATCTCATACTAGCAACTTAACAGCACACATGAAAGTTCTAGAACATAAAAAGCAAGCACACACAAGAAGAGTAGTTCACAAGAAATAATCAAACTGAGGGCTGATATCTATAAAATAGAAACAAACAGAACAACACAAAGAATCAATGAAACAAAGAGTTGGTTTTTTGAGAAGGTCAACAAGGTAGACAAACCTTTATCCAAGTTAAGTAGAAGTCACAGAGAGAATATCCAAATTAGTAAAATCAGAAATGAAAAGGGTATATAACAACAGACACCAAGGAAATTCAAGAATCATTAGGTTGTAGACAGAAGTTTCTGTCCTGCCACCAACTCCCAAATACCCAGCAGCAGTTTCCCAATTAATTGACTCAGAGGGTTAATATAAATTATAAATGCTAGGCCAGTAGCTCAGGCTTATTACTAACTAGCTCTTACATTTAAATTAACCCATAATTCTTATCCATTTAGCCTTGTGGCTTGGTACCTTTTCTCAGTATGGCGTTCTCATCTTGCTTCCTCTGTGTCTGGCTGGTGACTCCTGACTCTGCTCTTCCTCTTTCCAGCATTTTTAGTTTGGCTTTCCCATCTGACTTCCTGCCCAGTTACTGGGCTGTCAGCTTTCTATTAACCAATGAAAGTAATACATACTCATAGTGTAGAAAAGGATTATTCCACAGCATTATGTCATACTTTAAATATCTGTACTCCCCAAATATGTAAAATCCAAATGAAATAGCAATTTTCTTGATAAATACCACTTGCCAAAGTTAAATCAAGATCAGATAGACAACTTAAATAGACCTAGAATCCCTAAGGAAATAGAAGCAGTCTTTAAAAGTCTACCAACAAAAAAAGGTCCAGGGTCAGACATTTTTAGCCCAGAATTCTACCAGATATTAAAAAGAATTGCTTCCAATACTCCTCAAATTATTCCACAAAATAGAAACAGAAGGTACAAGCAAAATACATTTTATAGGACCACAGCCACACTGATAACCAAACCACACAAATATTCAACACAGAAAGTGAATTACTGATCATTTTCCCTTATGAACATAGATGCAAAAATACTCAACAAAATACTTGCATATAAACAAGCTGAAAGAAAAAAAAACATATGATCATCTCTTTAGATGCTAAAAAAAAAAAGCCTTTGACAAAATCCAACACTCCTTCATGATAAAAATCTTGGAGCGATCAGGGATACAAAAAACATACCTAAACATAATCAAGGCAATTCACAGCAAATCTACAGCCAACATCAAATTAAATGGAGAGAAACTCAAAGCAATTCCACTAAAATCAGGAACAAGACAGGGCTGTCTACTCTGTCCATACCTGTTCACTTTGGACTGGAAGTTCCAACTAGAGAAATCAAACAACTGAAGGAGATGAAGGGGATACAAATTGGACAGGAAGAAGTCAAAGACTGATTTTATAGGATCTTCAAATCTTTCCTCAGATGTCACGCCATGAAACGTCACGGATCCTGGTCGCGCGAGACGCCTTGACCCAAAAATGGCTATCTTGACCTGGAACTGGCTAGGCGGAAGTGTCTGCCTGGCATATGCAAACACGCCCGACCGTGGGGGCGTGTTGTGAACCCTTCACCAGGTCCCATCATACTGAGGTCAGAGTCACCTGAGCTTTCCCTCAGCAAATCCTCCCTCCCTCTCCACCTGCCTTTCTGTCTTTGAACTATGATCTTATTTATATTTTTATTCATTCATAAAACATTTATTGAGTATGAATGTCTGCTGGGTCCCAGGCACTGGAAGTCACCATCCCTCACAAGACAAAGGTGGCAGCATCATGACAGAGATTGTCATCTTCTTGGTCTTCAACATCTCAGCTAAGGTTCCTGGAGCTCCTGACTGGAGTTCACAAAGGTAGAAGAGAAATATGCAGAGGCTGGAACCTGAGCAGGGGTGAAGTAATTTTCATCTCTGGTGTTCCCACAATCTATTTTATAAGAGGTTCGTTAATTTTATATCTATGAGTGTTTTTCTTGGGTGTATGTGTTTGTACTATGTGCCTATCTGGTGTCCACAGGGGCACTGGAAGCCATGGAACAGGAGCCATGGTGTGGGTGCAGGGATCTGAACCGGGTCCTCTGCAGGAGCAGCAAGTGCTCTTAACCCCTCAGCCAAATCTTTAGTGCTTGGGATCATTTCTTTTAAATAAACTTAAATCTAAAGTAGATTCATCCTATAAATCCTTGTGCCTCAATTGGAGGCAGCACCAGGATTCCTAGAGCCAGGGAGGGAGAGGGGACCTTGGGCAGAACACAGATCCAACAGGACAGACTGAGACGAGACCCTGTAGATTGCTGTGGATATCACTCTGTATAAATAAAATGCTGATTGGCCAGTAGCTAGGCAGGGAGTATAGGCGGACCAAGGAAAGAGGAGAATTCTGGGAAGTGGAAGGCTGAGGCAGAGAGATGATGCCAGCCCGCTGCCATGACAAGCAACATGTTAAGATACCAGTAAGCCACAAGCTATGTGGCAAGGTATAGATTAATAGGAATGGGTGATTTAAGATATAAGAACAGATATCAAGAAGCCTGCTGTGGCCATACAGTTTGTAAGCAATATAAGTCTCTGTGTGTTTACTTGGTTGGGTTTGAACGGCTGTGAGACTGGCGGGTGAGAGAGATTTGTCCTGACTGTGGACTAGGCAGGACCAGAAAAACTCTAGCTACAGTGGATCCCTCCTCTCTGACCATCCTACAACCCGGGTTAGATTCTGAAAGATGGGGAAGGAGAGAACCTCCAGGGAGGGGCCTGGAAGGAGGTAGGAGCTCAGAAGACTGAAGTTCATCTCCTCAGCCCACAGTCTCCTGAGTACAGTGGCTTAGGTGGGCCTTGATGAGACAAGGATTGACAAACACCTCTTAATGCTGTCACTCAGGGACCCCAAGGGATAAGGAGGCAGGGACCACTCACAGGAACAAGAACAGGCCTAGTCCTCCATACAAACTAAAAAGACAAGAAATAAACAGAGAAGACGGGGTGAAGAGCCATGGCCAGGTCAGAGCCCAGGCTGACCTGTCACAGCAGCCCTGGCTGCCCACAATCCTGGGGATAGGACAAGGCTCTGTCATCCCAGTGTCCCTGTGATCACAGACTCTCAGATGTGGTTCAAGTGATGAAGAGAACAGAACCAGGAGGTGACAGAGCTGAGGAGTGACCATGTCACAGCCAACAATGGACTGAGCTCGACCTGGGCACAGTCTTGTTCACACTCAGCACCCACAGCCTCATCTTGTCCACCAGATAAACACGGCACAAAGAACACAGATTCTGGAAGGTTCTCCATGATGCCATTTATTTCCTCCAAAAGCTCTAAGTATTTCAATCATTTAATTTACCTGCCAATCCATCTGTCAGATCAAGGACGTGAACAATCATGTTTACATTCACATTATTATTTTCAGTGGGAAGTCAGGAGCTGCAGCTCAGGGCAGCATGGAGGTGACAGGATGGAGATGTCCCCTCCTGCCTGCTGCACCAGGAAGGTTGGCTGTGGAAGGGAACACAGGCAGTGCAGGGACTGGGTCCTGGCGTGAAGGGGGGGTGGGGGGGCAGGCTCCCCAGGTCTTCACATTGAGCCCACAGGGTCACAGGGAACATCAGACACTGTTGCTGAGAGTGAACTGAGGGGCTCAGGACGTCACAGGGAGACCTGAGCACATCTCTGTCACTCTGTCAGGCCGGGCAGCTGTCTTCATGCTACAAACAAGAGTCATGAACAATCGCTGTGAAGACAACATCCCAACAACCCACCACTCACTCAGAGGTGATTCTGGGAGTCCCTGAACCCCAATCATGTCCACTTTCCCTCCCCAAATCAGTCCCCAGAGTGTCACCTTCACAGTCTGGGAGAGACACATCAGAGCTCTGGGCACTTTCCCTGCCTAGGGTAAAATTATATATAGTCACAGGAAGATGAAAACATAGCCTCTAGAAGATTTCACTGGAGGAGGTATTATGGGTTGGCAGATCTCCCCAAATACTCTAGCTTCACCCCAAGGGCCTCAGGGATAATCCCGCTCCCCACACTTACCTGAAGCTGGAGTATAGTTCCCTCCTTTTCCACCTGTGAGGAGAAAAGCTGTGAGAGACCAGGGAAGACCCAACCCTAGGAAGTTTCCAGAACTAACAGCAGACCCAGGTTAGAGACAGGAACAATGAGGGGTATGGATGTTTCCCATTAATGAGGCAGAGCACACTTCTAAAAGGGGCTGAGAGAGAACCAGACCTGCCCTTTCCTACCTGTGTTTCTCCTCCTCATCTTCACAACAGCCACCACAGCTCCAGTGATGGCCACAGCTCCAAGGAGAACCAGAACAGCAATGATTGCCATGATGGAGACAGTGGACTGAGGAGGCTCTGGAAGGGAAGAACAGGAGGGGAAGGTGAGGGTCATGACCCCAGCTCTCAGCCCTGACCCTGATCAGGGTCTATAGAAGGTTCCAGCTTCCCCTGACCCCAGCTCTGCACCCACACCCTCCTTACCCCATCTCAGGGTGAGGGGCTCAGGCAGTCCCTCATGGACCACATGGCATGTGTATCTCTGCTCCTCCCCAGAAGGCACCACCACAGCTGCCCACTTCTGGAAGGTTCCATCCCCAGAAGGTCTGGTCTCCACCAGCTCCATGTCCTGAGTCTGTTCCTCCCCATCCCTCTGCCAGGTCATGGAGATCTCAGCAGGGTAGAAATCCAGGGCCCAGCACCTCAGGGTGACGTCTCCTTTCAGTATGGGGTGATGGGTCACATGAGCCTTTGGGGGATCTGTGAGGACAAATTAATAAATCCCTCAATGAACAAGGCAAACTGAAATCTACAAAGACAAAGTCAAACCAATGCTGACACTAAACTGTGTCTGTTTGGACAATTCTGTCATCACCCTAGTGACCTCAGGGAGAGCTGGTCCCCTCATCACAGAACTGCACATTTACGCTGACCAGCCTAACTGTCTGTCCAAGTGAACAGCCATCACCAAAGTGTGCAGCAGAAATGTGGTGAACCTCTGACACTCAGCCAGAGAAAATGACTCCCAAAGCCGAGCCTCTGGGGGACAAGACACAAGGTATTGTCACCAGGACCCCTGGAAGTATGCTGTGGAGCCCAGGGCAGCACTCCCTGGGACACAGCGGTGCTCACAGGGGTGTGTGGATCGTCCCTGTCACTCCTGTCCTGGAGCTGCAGAAGACCCTGTCTCTGAGGAAGTTCAATTCCTAATCCACTGGGGCAACACTGTGACTTGTTGGGACTGAGGGAGAGCAGGAGGGCTCTGGATGTTAATATGGCAGAAAACAGTCTAAGCTCACAGGAGCCTTTCTAGTGTAAAGGAAACACTGACTTTGTCTAATTATCCAGATTAGCAGAGTTGTGTCCGCCCCACCCCCACCCCGGCTCCTGTGGAGACTGATACAGATGATAACACGGGGGGGGGGGGGGACGACGACACAGTATCACCCCAGTGAGGGGAAAAAAACTGACTAAAAGCAAAATGACAACTTAAAAAAAAAAGGAAGGAAGAAAAGAAAAAGCCCCCCACAATTTAGTATTCACCAGGGCACCCCATAAATGCTCACGTGACCATTCTATGAATAGACAGAGTTGGGGTGTGGGAGGGATGTAAACCTCACCCACAGGAATCTGGGGGAAAGTATCTTTGGAAAGTTCTAGAAACTGTGGAAACAGCGTAGGGTAGGGGCGTCCATGTCTCCCGTCAGGTAAAGGAGACTTCCGGTCCTGGCGTGTAAGGCTGACACACTCAGATGACAGGACTCAGTTTCCACAGACCCTGGTGTGGGCAGAGACCCTGGCCTGGAGAGGCCATGGCTGACAGCGGCTGCAGACTGCAGGAGCCACTGTGGTTAGGTCGGGATCTCCTCTCCCTCCTCTGAGACAGATTTGCAGCTGTCCAGGGAGAAGGCTGAGCCTGGGGATCAGTG